GCAAAGTCCGGGGTGCAGATCACCGGAGCGCAGGACTGGTTCCCAGCAACCACCAGGCTGGCGGGGTCCACAGGGGGGACAGAGGAGGTGCGGTAGACGGCGAAGACGAAGTGCTTGTCCGCAGTGCACTCTGGGAAGACAGCAGGCAGGTCGGTGCTGGGGCAGCAGCTGGACAGCGCGGGCAGTGGTCAGCGACAGGGAGGAGGAGGACTCACCCTCCAGGGGGTAGTAGCAGGAGGAGGTATCGGGGTCCACACAGCAGCCCTTGGCCAGACACTTGGCAGGAGAGATGGGCTCTGGACCACAGGACACCCGCTGGCTCCTGGGAATCCTGCAGCCTGAAGGAAGAAGTTGGAAGAGTCAGGATTCAGGACGAGACACCCACTGCCTCCCTACAGCGAGAGAGCTCACCCTCTTTCGGCTTGATGGGGCGATAAGGACAGGACACCTTGATTTCCCCTCTTTGGCCACTCAAGGTGATGTACACCACCTTCACGGTGTAGCGCTTGTTCTGCCAGAAGAGACGCAAGGAGATCAGGAATCGACTGCCTGCCAGATCCTTTCAGATCTGTCCAGCAGTATCGATCAGAGCCAGCCAATACCCGCAGCTCGAGTAAGAGGGACTGTACTTGGCAACACTCTGGGGGAGTTTCACACTAGGGCGTGTCAATCTACTGGTGCTCGAGCTCAAACTACTTGGTACCGATGCGAGGGCAGACCCAGGTCCCCTCACCAGGAGCCGGACGTGACAGGCGGTGTAGGGGATGGTCAGGGTGTTCAGCTGCTCGCCTTCCTTCACTGCGTACCCACAGGGCCAGCCCATTTCCACCACAGAATCCAGACTGCCAGAGGACCCTGCTGGTAACAGGACACGCGAGGTCACAAGAGCACTCGGCAAGACGGAGAGGACGCCGAGGTGTCCAATGTGAAGACCTCTCCTTAAGGCCAGGAGCACCTTTCAGAGCCAGGAAACGTGAAGCAACGGACACCAGTGGATCTCTCGGCACTACGTGGACATTCACTCACCCTGAACCTTGATGTCCTCCAGGGGGCCAGCAGGCAGGGTCACAGTCATGCAAACGTCACCGCAGGAGATGGACAGGCCCCTGGGGGGCTGGGAGACTGGGGGCAGAGGGGTGGCACAGGACACCGTGCCC